AGTGGGAGGGAAGAGGGCTACTTTCTTAAACTGCTTTTCACAAGTTTTATGGAATGACACTTTCACTGAAGTCCATCTGTGGATGAAAGTGTTTTAATGCCTCGTTGCTGAAGATGAGATTGCTTTTTTTCTCAGAGCTTTTATGCTCACTACATCAAATGGTTACTTTAATTAGTGTTTATGTAGCACAGTTTTTAAAAGGATATTTTGGTGTTAAGTCAGAAGGTAGATGTTTTGGAAGAAAGTAACTCTGGAAATGTGTAGGAAAGTGATGGAAAGCCTGCAGTCTAAGGGCTGTCTGCCTGATGGCTCACAGCCATCGTTTCTCTGTTGTGTGACAGTGATTTTTGAAAACCCTCTGCTCACCTCCAGGGCAAAGGGTTCACAAGCCTAAGTATAAGATCTTTGGTGTATCTAGGGTTGTTGCTACCTCATGGCATGCTTTCCTGGTCCTCTAGTCACTCATGCAATACTAAGACAAAATTGTGTGTTCTGTAGAAGGCTTTCCAGTTCTTCATGGATTCCTGACAAGGGTTACTTGGTGTGCTTCTTGCTTTTTATTAGTACAGTCTAGCATTTTACATACTTATTTTCATTTTCATGTCAGGCTTCCTTGCTTGTATGATTTCTTGGTATAGTAGCCTTTAGATCCTTGGGCGGTTTGTACCTCTTGCAGTCTGGTGTAATCACTAATTAAGAAGACTCTAAAACTGGCTCTGCAAGAGACAGTGAGCTTGAGAGCATCAATTTCAATAGTCAGGGTACTTACTTTCAGTAAGTACAAGGCCTGTACATACATACACTTGCTATAATCTAAGTATTCTTGGGCTCATTCCTGAATGAACTAATGGTTTGATCCTTGCAAGTTACAAACGACCACTGATTCCTGCAGAGAAGGAGGTTTTAATCAGTTACTTACCAGGCCAAGGGGCAGTATGACTAAGAAGAGTATCATCATCACTGAAAGACTTGTGAGGAGCAGGATTTCTGGTTTGATGATGCAGATTTTCCTCTGGCAAAGGACTCAACAAAGCACTTCTTTGGACTTGTCTGAAGAAGAAATATCAGGTCTTGATTTCAGGCATTTTGAGCTGCTGGAATCAGTAAGATAAGCCTTCCCAATGGCTTTAGGAAAGCTCTGATATGTGCTCTCACAAGTTGTACTGGGGAAAGAGGGAATGGAGCTAATAGTCATCTGTCAAGAGTGGTTCTTGTGTCCTTTAAGTAAAGTACTAATGAGCAGCTGGCTGTCTTTCCTCCAACTTTTTGCTACTACCATTACCACCACAAATACAGAGCATGTACCACAGAAAAGGGCAGAAGAAGATAACATGGCTGACTCAACTAGACAGGAATAGTAGCCATTTTCCACACCAGTGGTTGGCATCAGGTTATTCTGTGCTCTAGTTTCTAAAAGATGGTATCAAAAGGAAGAATTTTTTACAAGTGGTTTAACATGCAATTCCTTCTTTAATCTTGGAACAAAAAAAAAAACATTTCTGTTTCAAAACAGTCTCTTATGTAACTCCAGAGCTCACTTTGGCATCTTGACACTGACCAAGCCTCTGTCTGGACAAGTCAGTACAGTTGGCAGAAGAATGCTATGAAAATTACCTGCAAGGAAATAACCTTTCTTCCCCAACTATGCGTTCTATTTAGTCAAAAGGCTCAGTTACACAGATTTTGAACTCCACGTGAGATGGACACCACCAGAAAAAGGTTCCAAAGCAAGATTCGGAACTATTTGTCGCTTGAGCATAGCTTTTCTTGTGGCCTCCGAAAGCTCAAATCTTGACCATACTACTGTCGTGCCTACAGGTAGAATAAGATTTACTTCTCTATGTATCTTACAACGTATCTGCATTTTTCACAAGACTACTTCAAGAACCTTTGCAAGGATTATAGGCTACCAGATCACAGTAGCAAGTAATTTTTAAGCAGCAATGATTAGTCAATAAGTGGTATCACATAATCCAGCACGCCTTTATCCAAAAAGGTCTTTCAAGTAAGGATATCATGGCCCCTGACAAGAAAAGAACCATCAGAGAGAGGGTTGAGCTGGGTTCAAGGCCTGGACAAAATATCACTGAAATCTTACATTATCTAAAGGAGTCCCTGACTTTCATGTACACTGGGCCACCCACCCACCCACATTATTAAGTACTGCCTTCTGTTTCTGTGGAACATACTCCTTCATGCAAGGTATTCACAGAATTTTATTTCTAATTTATGCACAAACCCCACAAGTGGCTACTTCATCACAGGTGCTTCCTAACCAGATGTTATTCTTCCATCAGGACATGTTTTGATTTAACAGACAAACACAGGAGAAAGTCTACTCCATTATGTTGCAAGCCACCATTGCTGTGTCTGAAGAAATTACATGATGGTAAGGTTTGCAGGGAAAATCGATGGGATTCTGTGCATATGTTTACTCTTTGGTGGAGACATTACGATGATGTTTCTGATGGGACTGATCTACATTTACTGGTTAAATTGATTTCCGATTTCTGTGCTCTTTGTCTAGGCCACTGCATGAATCATTATTGGTATGTAGGGAAGGTATTAGAATACAAAAAGATCCTATTGCTTCTGCCGCTGAGGGTTTGGAGACTTTTTTTTTTTTGTGTTCTATCAGCCATTCCTCTCCCTGGTACTAGAGTCTGATTTTAGTACTACAAGTGGTACTGCTGAAAGGTTTAGTGGTGAAAATGATGGCTTCTGAAAGGGAAGTAGCCATGTCTTGTAGTGTTAGCTTGGCTGCAACCTACCCTGGGGCCTTCCACCAGTCCTTCCACTTCTCTGATCTCCTGCTGTTTTTGGTCACACTCTGCCTGTTTCAGAGCTGTTGAGGACAAGCTAATCTGGCACAGCTGTATCCCTTACTATGTAAGCCTTGGATCTCTGTTGGGACCTCAGCTATAGCCTTGCATAAAGGAACATTTCATGCTCAAGGGTGGTTGAAGCAGGCAGACACAGGTCTGTATGGCAACACTTTGCCATACTTTTCAAGAGCAGCATGGGGGAGTGGGTAAGAAGAGCTCAGGTAAGTGAGCAGGTATAAAGCAGCTTGTTAGTACCAGACACTGAACAAGCAGTTAAGAAAAGAGTGTTCTTGTGGCAAATTTATGGGCTGGAAAAGAAGACTTGTGAACACAGGAACAATAGTGGGAAGAGGTAGGAACAGATGGGTTGGAGCAGGGCTGCAGAAGGCTGTGGAGTCAGACAATAGTAAGAATTGATATATGGGTCCTAATCCCTGGTGCCCTTACTGAAACCTTCTAGGGTCCAGTTTCCAGACAAGTGTCACAGTAGCTATTTGGGGGGAGGCCATCAATGGGTTAGACAAGATGCAACAAAGCAAGGAAAGGGGGCCAGAAAGAAAAAGTTGAGAGCTACATAAAGCTTTCTAATATTCATGTTGCTTTCGTAGCAGTCTTTGTTGCCTTTTGGTTCTTCACTGCGCCTCTTTCCTGCTGTAATTCTCCTGCTAGGTCATCAGATACCATAATCCTAGCAGGAGCCCACGTGCTAGACTGGGGTTTGCCATACTATGCATTATTCCTTGAGAACTAATGAAGCTTGTATCTGGCAATATGCACTACTATAGGTGATTTATGATAGAGGAAAACAGATGTGCATTAATGACTGAACTGGGCTGCTGCTTGAGTGGTGTCTTGGCTAAATCCTTTCATTTTAAGTACAAGAATATTGTAGCTAGTTTAGGAACTAGATTGGAGGCTAAGAATGAGAGAGGGAGTTGGCCTTGTGGTAGCATCAGGCTTGGTTGACTCTTCCATAGTTCTTTTGCACATTGGTTTTATTTATTGTCAGAGGAAAAAGTTATTTCTCAGTTCCCCAGCCCCATGGGCCGAGTCTCCCTGCTGTGGTGAGGGCTGGTCTCCACGGCTCTGGTAGCTGGCCTGTGGTGGCCCAGGCCCACAGTACACTCGTGCCAGGTGCAGGACCCACAGACCCCCACATCTCCACAGCCCTGTGGCTCCCGGGCCATCACTCCACTGCAGCCACCTCCACGGGGATGTGCACACACAGAGCACAATTTCATGGACATTATTTATTTTAGAGACCATCCCAAAGGGCTGGCCCAGGTCCTGCTCGCAGCGGGGATCTGTGGCCGAGCGCAGGGTGGGCACTGTGGCCCCAAGCCCCGTCTCCCTTCTGCTCATTACCAGGTGGCACAAGGCCTGCGGGGCTAAGGAGGGAAAGGGCAGGTGGTGAGAGTGGGCTGTGGGTGCGAACATGTGGCCTTTGTTTTTAAGTGATGTTTGTCCAGCGTGCTGCCATGCCAGTGAGAGGTGAGGGGGCGTCATAGGCAGTCACAGGTGCCATAGCCTTGTGTTCTTGACTTAAATCCAGAATTCTGTCTGGGGTTTTTTGTGCCAAAGCTGCTGTCTGAGATAACAGGATTTAATCATAATTTTTCCATGTACATTTGTAGCTGTTTTAACTACATGTAATGTATCCTAAATACATTATTATTTAACAGCTCAAAATGCTTCCAAAGGAGCTATTCAAGTAGTTTCTGTAAATAACACACCTTTTAAAGTTATGTGGAATTCTTAATGTCATTTGGGGACTTCTCTTATGTTTCCTTAGGAAGAAAATGACTTCTCCAATCAGTATTTACCCGAAGAATTGAAATAGTACCATTTTCAGTTGTGCTAATTACCTCTTTATATGACCAATTATGTATTTGCTCATCTGAGATTTGGAGAGAGCTTCCCTGAAAGTCTTAACAGTCCTCAGAGGAAGGTGTAGCTATAAGAAATATTTTAAATGCAGGAGGATTGAAGGATCTGGCATATTTTACAATTTTCCCGCGTAGTACGTGTACGATACCAAACACTAGTGAGTAGGAATAATTGTGGATGAGCTCTGACTTCAGGAGCAGAGTATGTGAAGTGAACTGTAACTTCCCAGTGTTAAGCCTTCATTTTCAGCCTCACTCAACACTTACCTCTTCTGCAGCTCTCCAAATTTCTTAGAAGCCCCTTTGCTCCTCCTGCCTCTTCAAGCAAGAGCAACAGATGTTTCCTGTCTGTTTATTTGTGGAAGGCACCGAGCATTGGAGCAGAAATGGTCAAAACTTTGTTCTGTCCTGCTTATGAGTGAGATAGTGTGAAAAAACAAACTAAGGACTCTGCTCTTGAATATTGAACACATAAAAAGGGAGGCAGAGTTAACTGGCCTGATGTCACTGCAAGGGACCTTTGCATCTGAGAATGTTAAGGTAAAAGAGCTGTTTGTGGATGTCCCCTGTTCAGTCATCACACAGGTTTTTAAAACTGTGCAAGACTACATTATCCCATCTATATAACTTCATGCAATTAAACCTATAAAATTAGAAAAAATTCTCAGTTTTATAAAAATACATAATTAAATCTACAAATTCATAAATAATTTATTGCTTGCACAAAAGTTATATTCTTTTGTTTTGCTAAGTTTTTTGACAAAAATAAGTGATTGCCATATTAAAGCTCGGTTCAGTGTTATGCCACAAAAAATGAGTCAAGTGAAACACCTTTATTATTTTGAGTAAGGGCTGTGAATTTTCTTTCAATGTTCATGACTTTTCTCATGCTTTAGAAACAGGCTAGTTTTGAAGTTCAGCACCAAATACTGTAAGAAGATTGTAGATTTCAGAACCAGAGAATGTTAACAGCTGTAAAAGATTACAAAAAATTAATAGTTATCTAAGTTATAAAAAAGTCAACACCAACCCTCCCCCCAACACTTGGCATGTCAAATATAAACAGTTTCCAACCTGAGTGTTTAAAGACTAGTGTGTGCATGCAAAATGTGATTTGTTTTTCAAGTGCACCATTCAGCACATATTAGTGATCCCTGCGATTTAAAATGACATTTCTCTTTGAGGTATTTTAACCTGGGCTTAATCTGAGGAACACTCAAAGTATCAATAACTGGAAAATGCCACAGAGGCCAAAAGTTTTCTACTCTTTTCTTGTTTAGTTTCTTTGTTTGGCAGCACACTTTTTGATCTGTTCGTTTAGTGTGTGCAGACAATTTGTGCATAGCAGAGAAGTGAAATGTGAACCTGCAATCCCAAGACTTCAAAACCAGGCTGAGATACAGCTACTGTATTTGATGATTATCAGATAATGTGAGGCTTTGTTGTTTATAAAAGAGATCTTGTATCCATTGACATATATTCTTTGTATATGTAAACTTACTAAGGCAAATATATTATCACTTGTTACCTTAGATTAATATTTCTTGGAGCATGAAAGTTTTGCACATTTTGAGGAAGAAAAGGGTCCAAGGCTAATTACAAGCAAGCACTTGAGCGAGGAGAACTTACTTTCCTGATTCTCTTCAGCCAGGTAAGCATAAATACTCGCATGAGACTGTTAAACTATTTACGTCCATGCTGTTCTCTCTCATTCTTTTCATTTCAAGAAAGACTACAAAAAGCACACTAACAGCAGTCTTAAACATCTGTACAGTTATTTGGTTTATCTCAAAGACTGTGATGGAATCTTGTCCCCCTTGATGTTTAGTGGATGCAGAATTTCATTCAAGGTATTTGTTAGTTTGAGACAGTTGCTTTAATGGGAAGCATTCACCACATTTGGGTCAGAAGCGGACTGTTTCTGTCAGTCATCTCTGTCTTAACATTTTATTTTTCTGTCTCCTCCCTAGTATTTCTTTCCCATTACTTTTATCACTCTGGAGTCTTTCGTCTTTCTTCTCTCCCCGTATAAATAGTACATTTTTTTTAGCCTTTCTGGGCAATGTTTAGTTCTTACACATAAAAAATGTTATGCAGTAAATTATTGACTTTTGCTAGACTCCTCTTGATAAAATTTCTGCTGTTACTATCCAGGACTTCACCAAATTCTGGAATAGTTTTCTCTTCCTTTTTAAAAGACTCTTTAATTCAGAATATGACATGAACATGTGAGCATATTTGAAATGTTATGGTTCCAAATTTGTAGTTTACACCGCTGAAGAACCAAGTATCATCTGTGAGAGATCAGAATCCATCTCAGGCTCAGCTTGGCTGTCTGAGTATTCAGCCATATGAAATGGCCATTAATTTGAATGTTGTGATCATCTATGAAAAGAGAGATGGTTTTGACTGTCACAAACTTTATGGTTGGAAATCTGTTACATAAATAAAGCTGCATAGGGGAACAGAGGAGTACTGGCTACAAAGGCAGCCCAAAAAAGCAAACCGTGATCTACCAGCTTAGAAATCTGCTAATTGCTGTTGCAGAATGGGACTATTTTTGAAACTATAAAAGCACAGAGACACAGCAAGCAAATAATAGATTCGGTACTCTCATGGAAATAAAATATTTCTGAAATGGAGGCTTCTATATCCACACTGAAGAGAATGAAAAACCAGGACAATGCACAAGGATAGCAAAACTCTTCAGTTTAAAGGAAATCATATAAGAATCCTAGTCTTCCCTAATAGAAAGAAGGAAAAAAAGTTTCAAGAATGTTATATGATTATTAAGAAAGAAAAAGAAAGTTAAGAGGAAAGTAGTTTTCTGTATAATTTTGAGTTTCTTATATAATAGGGTTTTTCTGGTTTTCTACTTTTTTCATGCTGTCTCTATCTTAGATTCAGTTATGTTCTGACTTCTTTATACTTGGTTTGGCCTTGCTGGAAAGAAGTTAAATGGCATGGTCAGCCCACACATCTATTACAGAGATTCTGGCTAAACCTTTTTTAAATGCATGTCAGAAATAGACTTTGAAAGAAAAGGTGGAGCTACCTGAAAAATGGTGTTCGTTCCAAGAACATGGATAGGGGGAATGCTTATATAATGAGAGAAAAAATGTAGCAGCTTTGTCTCTGGCAGCAAAAATGGAGAAAAGAAGCTGATGGAAACAAATTGCTAGATGAAATAAAAAAATATTTGGCAAAGAAGCAGAGGAACACAGATTCTGAAAGAACCCTCAAACAGCTTACTATCCTTAGAGGCCAATTAAACCTGAATCAGTCAGGAAAGACAGAAAGAGCCCTCCTCAGGCTTAATGAAAATTTATATCAGGCAAAATAAAGCCCTGAGATTATTGGCATATAAGGCGTAGAATGCTAAGAGAAACAAGCTAGCTTGGCTATTAATGATACCAGGGTGGTATTTACATTTAAAACAAAATAAATTTGTACCGTCTTTGAAGGTTTTCTGTGTCCATCTGTGTGTTAACAAAAAATCAGCTCCAGCTGACAAAATAGTCTATGTAATGAAGCAAATATGCCCCCAGGTTCCAGCTGCCCAAATCACCATTTGAAGCCATCTGAGTAAGAAACAAAGTAGAAAATATTGTCAGAAAAATGTCAGCTAGCCCAGAGATTGTGTCTTTTAAATACTTCTAAACACCTTACTTAGCAACTTGTAATAGCAATCACTATGCTTTTAAAGACTTGTCAGCCTTTGCTTTTGGAAGCTGATACATTGCTTATCAAGATCTTGCTAAAGCATCTGTGTTAACTGTCATTGTTGTACAGTATATTAGAAAGATATAATCATCAGCATAAACCTGTTTTATAGTAGGGTCACCAGTTACTCAAAATAGTAGACAAAGCTCTGTGTCTCTTGCCCCATGTCCCCATACCTTGGACCTCCTGCAGCTATTTAAAGAGTGTGGCAATTGAAGGCTATTTTACTAGCATACCACTTCACACAAAAGGAAGTTTACGTGGGAGACTCATATTCTAATTCTCCCTATAAATCTCCCTAAAGAGTCAAATACAAAAATAAATTGGAGAGATTTGTAACTCAGAGTTAAAATCAATACTTCTCAAATTTCCACTCTTCAGACATATAATTTTAGCATCCTTAAATGAAGCATATACCAAACCCCATGTGACTGCGGTCTTAGCTGTCTTGAAAGTCAGTTGTAGTCTAGGTTGGTAGACACTACCGACTCTCTCCTTTCACAGGGTACTCATATCATAGTGAAAAGTTTCAAATAGACTCTTCACTTAGAATTTTTAAGAGGCAGGATCTAAACACCCCAAATTACAAAAGGCAAAAGGAACCAATGAATAATTTATATTTGATCTAGAAATAAATATCCAAATTAGATTCCATATTTTATTGATTAGCTTTCTTAGGGGCAGGGAAAAGCCTCTGCATATGGGCTCAATAGAGAAGATTAGTCATCATCCACAGGCTTTTTTTTGTGGTTTGCATAGGATTTCCCATATTTTCTCACTATTTCTTTCACAATTCAATGGCAAAATTTTGAAACATTTCTTGACCAATTCCTGCATGCTTTAGGGTAATCCATCTTATCCCTCTTTTTCTACATCTATCTGTTGAAGTACTTCCTATGGATATACAATGCTCTAATTGCTTTTCATGCTGTACAGTTTCTGATACTCTTAGAAATAATATATAATTTTAAAACTATTTTTAAAGATTGAGAATGTACATATATCACTGTATACAAGTAAAAAAATCAAAATTGGAATAAATTTTATTTGTTGCTTAATTTCTCTGTAGTAAAAACTTATTCTAATCCTTTTTACTTTATTGATAAGAACTCTCAACTACTTGGAAGTTGAGATATAAGCTAGGTCTGGGTGCATTTTAGTCACCTGTTAGGATGTTTGATGATCACCAAAACTTTGGTATTCCTCATAACTGAGACTGTTTCTCAAACTGTCTTAAGTCCTTGTAGAATGCACTGAACCAGCTTTCTCCTTTTAACAGCTGGCTTGCCTTATGTAAGTACCTCCAGTAAGGTGTGAATCAATGCTATCCCTCATGGATATTTTCGTTGCAATCCCAAGTGCTTCCTTCCATGTATAGGCATTTGACAGAGTACATTAGTCCTGCAATAAGGCATGTCAACTAATGACTTTGTAATAGGAACTGTGTATGTCCTGTCACAAAACAGACAGAACATACAGAATATAAATTGACTCTTTGTATGTGAACAGGTGGAGTGCAAGGTGGAGGTTAAATGTATGCTACCATGTTATCTTGGTGTTTGTACTGTCATTGTAGATCTCTTATATTTTCCCCCCATCATCTCCCAGATTCACATTTTAGAACCTAAATTATGTCCCTGCATTTGACTTACTGACAGATTCTACTTGATGTTTCTTCCAACTGAAACAATTACAATGCTTGGCCACACGCAGTACCTGAGGATGTGCAAACCTATGTGAAAATGTATTTTGAAAAGCAGCAAAGTAAAGCAATCTTCTTGAAGAACTTATTTACCTTTCCCCTAATAGCTGGGAACCATGGATGGAATTGAAGTACTCATTCTCTGTACTGTAGCTGGTTATCGGTATGACAAGAAGACACATACAAAATTATCATAACACTTTTTTGTTTAGTTTAGTGAAATTGAATTAAGGCTTTCGTTTGTTTTTATAAAGAAACTGTAGGGTTTTTTCCTTGATTTTTTTCACATGATGACCAGTGACACATGGCAACAGTACTAAGGCTATGTCTGCTGTATTATAAATATACCAAGGCAGCAATTGTCCTGTAGGACTAGAATAAAGAAGTTTATATCCATATATATATGAAAATTATAGATAGAATATGTATGTAAAACTTGGGTGGCAAGGACTAATTTTGTTCCTGAGATATAAATTTGAAAGGGAAATGCTAAAGACCTGCAAGTGGTTGCAAAATATTCAGATCCAGGACAGATTATTATTTTTATCTTATTCACCCCTCTAGAATTCCCAAAGGAAGAAGATCCCAATTTGGGGCTTGTTTGTTTTTTTATTTTACTCCACAATCTAAACAGTTCACCTTTCTCTTAGGCCTCATCACAGAGTTGCATAAAGTCCATTAAATGAAGTTCCTTGGGAAAAATGAAGATATGGAGGAAGACAAGTACTTAGTAAGGGGAGGTAAGAGTTAAGGCCTGGGACCACAGAACAGCTGGAATATGTTAGTTTTACAGGAAGGCAGCCTGGAGAGGGAGTGTGAACTGCCAGCAGGTGGCTGGGAATGGCTGAATAACTCAGTGGTGGAACTGGAAGAGAGTTCTGCCTCTTACTGTGATGACTCGGCCAACTTCAGCCTGTTTTTCTTTATAACAGGGGACCTTTGTCAAAGCCCATTAAAGTAAATTTAGCATTTCCTTTAAATAGAATAGGTTCTGGATCTGGCCCCTGCTTGTTTTGACACTGTTTTTGTTCGCTCTGTCTCTTAAAACTTTACCTTATTCTTTCTCTGATGAGGAAAAGAAAGCTGGTTGACTGCTAGACAGGCTTCAAAGGGTGAGACACTGATATGTCCCTTGGACAGACTGCCTCCAAGTCAAGCAGACACTGTTTTGTTAAGAGAAGCTGCAGCAGACAAGTCTGGGAAGAAAGGTCTGCTGGGGTTTCCCTTCTGCATCAAGGAAAGTTATGCTGACAAAGAGAGCTGCTCTTACCACAGTGATGCTTTGCTGTGCTTTGCAGTACTGGTCAATGTCCTCCAGAAGTTCTGGTCATAAAGTGGGCTTTGCTCTGGGTGGCACTATACAAACACAAGAAGCTGGCCCTGCCCAAAAGTCCTTGCAGTGTAGGTATAACCAGGAAGCAGAAGACCCAGTGGCAGTGCGGGGCTGAGAGTGTAGCACAGCAGTTTTCTCAGCATTTAATTGGCACAGTGTAAGAGAAAGTTTGAAGGAAGGATCTGAAGGTAACACTATCCTTTACAGGTATTTCTGAAAATCTCCTCTCAAGTGTGAAGAGCAGTGTAGGCTAAGGTATATGTGTTATTATTTGACCATCCAACAGGATGGCATTTGGGCAGGATTTGAAGAAACAATACTGGAATAACTAAGATGTGAGATGATAAGAGTTTGGAGAAGAGTTTTACCTACATGGGTGTGTGGGAAAACTACCTCATGCACTAAGCAGTAAGGTTCTGTAATCTTTGTACATAGCTATTAGGAGAGGATCTATAGAGAGGTCTAAGTTGAAGATGATATCTGAATTGTGTGTTCGAGTGATCATAAGGATGGCAGTATTACAACAGGAGACCCTGTGCAAGGATAACTTGAAGAGAGAGAAGGTAGTAGAGAATAACAACTCTATTTCAGCCATACTGATCATCAGCTAGTGATCCAGAGAGAGCTGTCACAGAAAGATGCAGATAGTGGGGAACTGAAGTAGTTTGTGTTGGCACATGTACACTAGAGGGATTTATATTTGAAGTCAAGAGAGGTGGTTTTTAAGGTGGGGTTGGGGAAGACTAACCAAGGACAGAATCCCAAAGAAGTTGCAGTGTAGGTGTGAGATTAGAGGCTTCAGATGCAGACAGGGGAGCACAAGGAAACAAAACACTTGACAGAAAGCTGGCAAACTGGAAGGCATAATCACAGGGATTTCTTCACACAGCCCCTGCAAAGGTGCGCAGATATTAAAAGTAAAAGAAAATGTTAAACCTCAACTCAAGAAAGACCAGTGTATCAAGAAGAGTGTTGCTGACTGTTGATGCTGACTAAGTCAGGGGTGGGGTACATCAGAAAAAAATTCAGGCAGAAGAGATGAAACAACTTTAGAAAGTATATACCAAGATCATATGAAGCTGAACGTACTGAGTGTTGGTGGTAGTTAGGAAAATGTTCTACAGAGATTATGAGAAGGCTTTTTACAGACAAGATCTTAAAATTTGAAGGAACAAACTACAGCTAGAAATCCAATTCCCTCGTAAATTAAACACTCGTCACTAATGTAATCTGTATTTCTTTACATGGCTATATCCTTGTTGTTATATTTTACTGTGTCTTTGTTACTTTCCCAGAGTAGTATGTAGAATGTTCAGATTTTTGCTAAGACTCAGCATTTATTAATCTTGGTGTTTTGCCAATAAAAATATCTACTTTTTCAGCTTTATGTTCTTGTAAGTGGACAAAAGAAATGACATCTGAGAATTTACAGAGAGGTGTTTAATAGAATATATGGTTGAGAATTGATAGTTATTTTTGTTACAACTAGCCAAAATTTTTGTTGCAAGATACAATCAATTGAAACAATAGCACTGTACTCCAATGAAATTGTAGTTATCCAGTAGAGGCATTGGCTATCTTATATTTTAACAAAATATTCAGTACAGATTGCTTTCTAAGAGGAAAACCCAGTAACCTATTACAAAATAATTTTGTAAAATGTAAAATGATAAGCTGCTTGGCATTTCTGATCAGGCAAACTACTGCTTTAAACTCATGTATAGATAATGAACTAGCAGTCTGCATAAGAGCTTTCATGACAGTAAGATAATAAACACTGAACTGACATAGATAAATTGGCATGAGTTGAACAAAAAAAACCCTGTCAAATTATCATTTTGATTAGGATGGTGTATTTGATTATAATGAAAACAAATGTGCTGGTGGCTCCTTGCAGCAGTAATTTTGCTGTCCAAGATGACAGAGTTAGTTCTGAGAAACTTTTTAATTGTTTTATCCACATAATGGCATACTGATCACTTTTATGTCACTGGGCAAGGAAATAATCTCAACAACAAAAGCTAGATTTCATACCAGAGGTACCACTTTTATATTTAATTCTTTGTTTGTGGCAGTACAAATGAAAATAGTTGTATAGCACAATGGCTGGCACGGTGGAATCCATATTGTCCCTGTTTTTGAACTGGATAGGAGAAGATAGAGAGAATATGTACATATAAATTACTTGTGTTTAAAACAAAAATTTTTGCAGGACCCTTGATAGTGTGGCTATGTAAAATACTTCCCTTGAACTGTTCAGAGGGTCTGCAAACGATTAGTGGTTTCACTGTAGTTCCGCAGGATTCTCCTCAGTGTCTCAGCAGATGCTTGTTGCCACCTATGTCCCTGACCACTATGGATGCTGTTGTATGAATCAGAGCTTCATTCCCAAATGTATCAGAGTTATCCAGGTGAGGAGTCCAAGTGGCTGGATGACGGAGCCACATCAACATTTTGTGTATTGTTTGCAACAGAAGCAGATCTGCTCAAATCTTTGTTTTATAGCTTAATTAGCTCTGGTTAAATCTTTACTTTAGGGTTGCACTGGGCGTCTCTAAACTCAGTGCCTGAAACAGGAAAAGAGACGGTGTCTGTCTCGGGTTTTTGTGAGCAGCACTACATCATATAAAGATCAGTGACTTGAACTGTGTAGCCTATTGATCATACACCTGAATTAAGTCTGTTATCTTTTTATCATACTTAGGAGGGTGAAAGTTACAGGTGACCATACAGATAATAAAAATAATAAGAAACAAATTACCCTAGTTTCATAAACTTATGTTAAAAATTAAGGTAGCAAAGGGCCATGATTTTTTTTATACAGTGTATACTCATTTGGAAAACACAGGAAAATATTTTGGAGTATATATGGAGAGAAAGTGCACTGCTTGATATCTCATTTCACTAAATATTTCAGATATTTTTCTCAAAACCACGGGTGATTATATTTATTTGATTTAATTTCGAAAAATGTTTTGCTTATGCTATACCTTTCTTTGGTTTTAGTAATCTCAGAAGCTGAAGAGACTGACCAGTTTTTTTGTCCTTTAACATGTTACATTGCTACTGAAACTTTCCAACACTGAACATTTCACTGATTCCCTTTTCTCTGCCATCTGTCTGATCTGGCCTCTTTCCAAATAATACTGCTTTCCTAGTGGATACGGTTGTCCTGGTACAAGAGTTTTCAGTCAGAGTAAGGAAAATTCACATTGTGTTCAGTTTTTTCTTTGATAGTATATATAAATATTGAATGGCCATGTACACTTGCAGTTTGTAGATTCTAAGATGCACACAAGAAAAAAACTTGTTTGTCATAAACTCTGACTTATGCTCTGCTTTATTGAAAACCTGACACTCACTGTTAAAAATATTTGTGTTTTCTGTCATTATGTTCTGTGTTAGTATGTTTATTTTGACAATTACTTTATTACAATATCTGAAGAATGGATGTTTTGAAATCTGGCTGTCTGGTTAAAAAACGTAAAGTTCCAGATTATACACAACCTTGCAGAAGTGTTAATTCAACATTTTGGAAACAATTGTCTTATCTTAGAAGCTCAACATTAAATGTCTTAGGAATGATAGTATATTTTAGAAGCTGAGCACCATGTGCCATTTAATGGATTTTCAAGTTGGGCACAAAATCACAAATCTCTTCTTGACCAATATCTTAAGAATTTTAGATTTATTTAAATTATATGCTGTCATCATATATTGCTTTAGGTATTACATCATATCTAAGGACATCAATAGAGAAATTAGATCCCACAGATCTAAGAAAATGCAATGCATCATTAAAAATACATATGAAAAAGCATTGTATTTTTACGTGCACAAGTGCATTAACTGTTGAAAAGGTGGAGAGGTCTCATTTCCCCTTCTTCCTTTATGCTAGAATCACTTTCATGCTAGTAATTAAATAGTGCGTTTTATAGTGAGCAATAGTAATAAAAACCCATCAGATACTGACAACTTCTTTCAAGAGGAGCATATTACATTATATTCTGAACTATGTAGATCATCTCTGAGCAGTGGTAGAATTTCTTGTCAAACAATTAACGCTGAGTATTCCAGAATATATCTCACAAGCTTTTTTTTTTTTTTTTTTGCTATTATATGCTCTCTCTCACATTTAAGGGAGAACACTTCGAACACTTCACTTTTTCTTTAAGAGAGAGAAATGTTTCAGGTTATCTGTAGTCCAGGTTTCAAGAAGTGATTTTCATCCATTCGACTGAAAGACTGAACCTTTGGCTTTCAGGATCTATCGCTGTGTCAGCATCACTTCCAAACTCTTGACTAGGAGCTTGAAACAACTGTCTTCTCAGGTAGCAAGCTCCAGGGTTAACTCTGAATCCTGTGCGTGCTGGGACAAGACGTTGGGAGTTCAGTCAGTGGTTTGAGGATACACATGGAGGGTAACTCAAAGGTGTTGGCACTATTTAAGTCTTCCCTAGGCCATAACTTGAAGACTTGCATTTGATTTACACAAAGGCCCTTTTCCAGTACCCTGGCAGTACAAAGGTTGCATTTGCTTAGCCTGTTCTGAACTGGAATTGTGGGAGTAGTGAATGTAAGCACGTGTTCATCTTTTGACCTGTGCTGATACACTGAAAGAATGGTTGGTAACTGGCATAAGGAGATTCAGGAGTGGCTGAAATCAAGGCAGCCAAGGACAACAATTTCACTCCAAAGACAGATAAAACTGATAAAACTCATATGTTAAATTACTTCCTACTGAGTCTCTACCTTGATAATGTCTCCTGGGAGAAATAGAAAATATTAATTTTCTGGGTTTCATCTGCAATTCTAGAATGTATATTTTCTACCCTCATGTAGTTTTTTGTAACAAGACAACTCTTTCTTCTCTTTTGGGAGTGAATGTGTTCAGTACAAAAAGCAATTATTTTTTAGTTTATTTATAAGTTTATCAGTTTTTCCAGTGTTACTGTGAGTTATTAATACACTGTCTGAAAGATTTAATTTTTTTCCCCAGTGATCAGCATTCAATGTAACTGTCTGGAATTGTATCTGTATTTCATTTTGTGCCATTATGATATTGGTTTACTGTATTTTCTTTACTAAGCAGACACTCAGCACCTAACTCATAGTGCAGGGTGTAGCTTTACAACCAGATGATATTTATTACTGTGGTAAGCTATTTGAAAAAAGAACCCCAGACTCTAACTTGCATGAAAATGAACATATTCTCATGTAAATTCCTAAAGAGGAAACTGGCAGAATTAACAAGTATGAAAAAGTATCGCTCTCTTCACCAAAGTTTGCCCAAAGGCTGGGAAGCAGCTGAATTACTGGATAATATTAATATCTTGGTTTTACTGTGAAACAGATGTATGCTGCCTGATCTTTTTCCTGTGGGAAAAAAAGAACACATAACAACAACAATCACAGTGCCCCTCCTTCTGCCCCAAACTTAGCATTTTATATATGTTAGATATAAATAAACTGTGATTTTTTTTTTAAACTTCAGCTAGCAACTTTGTCATCAATTCTTGTGAGATGAGAATCAGGCCTTGTTATTTAATTACATGAATGTGGTCAGAAAACAGTCTTTCTGACCAGAAAGTGGAAATAGGATTGTGATGTTGAATATATGGTTTTGTTGCAAGCAGTGTTTTTTCTATTAACACTGTTGACCCTGAGCCCTGATTTTGTAGACACATAACTTGGTTGCTAAAAATAGGAAAATAGGCTTATGTATGTAATTTATTTTAAAATGTTTAGGTCTTTTTTTTATGGAAGAGAGAGAGATATTTGGAGAGGGGGAAATATGGATCACGGTATTTGTAACAAATGCAAAATGTTTACTAATACTAGTTGCTTTTGTAGACTTTTAATTTCCAAATAAATTTGAAAAGTGGTTAGTTTGTAGCACTGGACTTATTTTATTGTTCTGTCGTTCCTGGCAGTGTTTAGAGCATGATCATTCCAAATTTCAAGAGGAAGAAAGAGAATTACTGCCAGTGATTGCCATCTTACGGCCTCTGCAAACCTGGGTGAGTATGCTTGCTCCATGAAGAGTCTATGTACGAGGAACTACCTTTGCCTTGTAGAGTGTTCTTCTAGTAGAGATGTAATAGCTATAATAACCTCAAAACTGTTGTCTGAATGGTCTTGTTTCCCTGTTCTTTTTCTTTCATGCCAGCATCACCACTGTTGGAGCTCTCTAGAGCACAGCTGCAGCATGACCCACAGTGTTTCTGCCTCCAGTGTTCATTGTTGCCCCTCCATGGTAGAACTCAGAACCTGTTAATCAGTTTGAGGTGCCTCAGCAAAGCTGGCATACCTCCTAAAATCTGGCCATACAACTAAGCCTATGCCTTTCCATATGAATGGCTCCTTCAAAGCCAGTAGGACCGCTCAGAGAGGCTAAAGCTCAGCATGTGGGTCAGCATTGTTAGTGTATATCTTCCCCTTTTGGAAATGGCTATGTGGATTTGTGTTTTGAAATGCTCTGAAAGAGAAGCCCCTCCCACGCTAGAGCCACGAAAATATTCCAGATAGCAAAGACAGCAGAACATGTCAGTCATGCTACCCTTGCACTACCCAGACATCTGTGAAAATTTCATGCTTGTGTGAGCAGATTCTGCAAAGGGCTGAATTTGGCTGTATATCTTTGAGGGAATACTTCATTTTCCCTGCTGTGCCTGCCTGTTATATGCTTTTAATTGTCCTTGGTATTTGGGGGAAAAATAAAAGGCACAAATTAAATAAAATGTGTAAACAACAGGAGAGGGCAGGCTTAAACTGACAAAAAGCAAAAAAATCAGACTAGCTGTAAACCTGGAAACACTGTTCCCAACTCCTAGCGTGTGCAGGAAATGCAGCACATATGGCACATGGAATCACCTGGAGCCAGGCCTCTTTGTTGCACCTTGGCATAGGAGAGCAGGAACAAAGCAGGGGTGCAGATTTTAACCCTCAGGTGCCTGGTGTCTGGTAAGGATCAGCTTAAGCCTGTTCTTGTACTTGGCTTCCCGTTTACAAATATGTGATGTTAATAACAGAATCATTACTGAATGATCTCTTTTGTACTTAAACATGGATAGCAGTACATTTTTATTGGTTAAAACCTTTCAATATAATTCTTTCTAGTCTGTAAGAAATGCATATGGATGTAATAGTATCCTTTCTTATAGAAAACTTGAATTTTATTATAATGACACTTCATTTATGATGCTCCTTGCAAAAGCTGTTTCTGATATTATGCTTTTAAGTGAGCTTCTCAGTGTTCCTTACAATCATTAATGAATCAGACTTTAGATAAAGACAGTGTAGGTATGGCAGCATATCATTATACAGGGGAGTAGAGTGAAGCATGAGGATGTAAATATTTACTACATCTTGCATGATGTTGAGGAAAAGATAGCTCTAAGAGTAGGATGATGTTTTTTACTGTTCATTGTGTACTTATCATAAAAAAAAATCTTTGAAAAATTCAAACCTTTCCTAACTTCTGCTTAACATTGGCAAAAATGTTTGTCTGGAAGAAAACTAAAGCAAAATGAAAAAAAAATCAGAACATCTGATATTAAGGATTCATTCTGGTTTGGTTTTGGTTGGTTGGTTGGTTGGTTGGTTTTGTTTTCTTAAAAAGGTTTCTTTGGGTTTTTTTTGTGGTTTTGGTTTTTTGTTTGGTTGGTTAGTTTGGTTTTCGGCTTATTTTTTGGTATGGCATTTTTAATTTATTTGGAAAAAAAAATATAAAAATCTTCAGAAGGATAGAAGAATACCTGCAGATTGATGCCAATCCATGGGATATTTTTACACAAGACATCCTCCTCAAAACCCCAAAAGCTGCTACATCTGCCTCCTTTCCTGCTCTAGAAATTTGTTTCATTTGTTCAACTTACTCTACTACAGATCACTGTGATACCACTAAGTATGTGCCCTGAATGTTATAGTAATGCACATGCATCTCTGGTCAGTTTGTCTGTCAAGACTTATATGTTTTTCTGTATTTCATGCACTTCTAGAACAAAATGGATATTAATTCACAGATTATTATACATCAAGCATTGTAGAGCAAAACAATTGTTACTCTTTTTTTTTTTTTCAGGGGCATCATCACTATCACAGGCTGATATTGCACAGCTATATGATCAACTGGAATCTTATTTTGAAATAGAGAAGTGCAAGATTTCAAACTTACGGGTATAATTGTATGTATTTTCAGAAATTGAAATGAACTTATGCAGAAATATTCAAAATAGACCTTGAAGGAGGAACCAAAAGTGTCCAGTGAAGTGTATACATTAAGAAGTTTTAAGAACGTGTTTTGTATTTAAAAGGCAACAATTCCTTGGAACCCTAGAAAAGGGGCAGGTCTTACCCAGTGGGACTTTGCTTCTACACTGGCATTTTCTGTTTAATGAAATTTCTGAAATATAATGGTGTAACCACTTTAATATTTACATCTATACACAGTTAAATAAAATTTTATGTCTTACATTTTTTAAAAAGAAGTGGACTAGGAACATAGTGTAGCCCGTGCTGCATTAATTGTCAGAAAAACAATATGTATATTCAGTTGAGACAAGGAAAGCCAGAAAGTTTTGGCTGTAATTAGCAGTTTTTAGGGAGGAGGACTCTACTTTTGGAAACAACTTGTTTGCAGTAGTTGAAATTTGATTACTCAAAATCACATTATCATATTGTTGCTACAGTCTGTTTTCAAAAACGTAGCTTTAGTACAGTGAAACAGATTTCAAAGTTACCAGGAAAGAAGAACATTTAACTATAAGCATGTGAGTCAAGCTATCTCTCCCTGCGTAGAGTGATGTCAACAGCCACAGGTTCTTCTGAGCTGGACAGAATGCTTCAGCACGAAAGCTTCACAGCTGTTTTAGTCCTTCCTTTTCCTGAGCTTATATATGCTGTGACAATATGGGCGGTTTGGATCAAAGCTGAATTGCATTTGATTGCCCTGAAGCAGAGAACAGAAGAACTCGCATCTTGAAATTAGACACAGTTGGATTTTCAGTGAAGGTGTTTCAGTGAAGACTTAAATTCTTGAATCTGACCCTAAGTGCTGTGGTCTCATTTTTGTGTCTGCACTGAGTTTGTTACCTGGTGCCAAATGATCCTCTCTTCATCAGGATAAAGTCACTACATTATCAGGTTTGCATTCTGTAGCATTTACCTTTTTGCATTTATTACAAGAAGATTTACATTTTGTAAATGTGTTGGGGACTGCTTGAATTACGAAAGTGAGCTCTGAGTTTTGATATCTTAATGGAAAAAAAGGAAGTAAATGACAAATGAATTCTTGAAATTTCCCACCTGAAATCTCAGAGAGAGTGGGGGGAAAAGTTCTCAGAGAAGGCACTCTCTGAAGAGGGCAAATGGGGGACAGATGTGTGACTTCAGATACCTGCAAATTCCTGACTGAGTGCTCTAGTTTTTATATGATAGAAGGTACAAGGAGTAGGTTGCCACCATTAATGCTATTTTACATATAGCATTTACTAAAGTGAAAATGTTGTAGCCAGCCTAAACTGTTTACTAAGTGGATAGTTATTTTTTTGGTTGTCTCAGTCTGCAGCTGTTAGCACACACACTTATTTTCCAGTGTTAGAGAGACATGAATGGAGCCACTGACAGTGACTGAAGGCACTTCTGCTGAAGTAGCCAAAATTAAACATTTTATTTGTGAAAGAGGATAGAAGAACCTTTGATGTCTCAAACTCTTCTGCTGTTCCCTAAAGCTTTTCACACCAGGTACTCATCTCAACTGGAGAAAACAGCACTTGGGAGTCAGAGAGGAAAAGTGTTCAGTGAAGAAATTCAGTGATGAGAGAAGAGTTTCATTGGTGTTGGAAGGCAAACACAGAAAAGTAAACACAGCCCAGTGGATTACAACAGGTTAGTAAATACAAATGCTGTAACATTTCCATAGAGCTCTTTCTGTAGAAGCAACTGTTATATGCAATGTAGGGTGTTGTTTTATTATTTTCATCACATTTTTCTAAGTTATATGCCTTTCTTCATTTTTAGTGTGCTTTACTCACAAAAGTTGTTTGAAGTTACTGAATAATACTGGTAGACATTAAAGTTTCAGAAAAATGTGGAAAAGAGGTGTTACAATTTAGGTAAATCAGTCATTATCAAGGTGTTTTGGGATTTGCTGTTTCGGCTTCTCATGTGCTAAGTCTCCTGTAATGTGTTACAGTTGTGAAACATATTCCGACCTCTCACAACAGTGCTGAGAACCGAGACACCTCTGCCCCCACTGAACTTTACAGGAGGGAGAGAAAGGCCCATTATTAGCTTTTGTGAAGTGCAATGAGGTACTGATGAAATGATCTATACCACTCTGAATTGCCTTTGTTCATTACACACGGAGTAGTCCCTGAGCAGAGGAGAGGGAACATAAATGAAGTATTTATTTAATATCAAGGTGCTAAAATCTAGGCAGCACATTGTAAGTAAAAAAAAAAAAAAAGGCATTTGGGAATTGACATGCTAACATTTGTTCCTTTCAGCTTGTCTTTTTTAACTTTCTGTTGTTTCTTTTTATCCATGCAAAATTGTCAAAATGTAAACACCTCTCTATTGACAAGATACACTAATGTCAGTAGTAGTAAAAGAAGTGTTGACATGAAGGCTAAACTAAAATGGAGAAGGATTTCTGAACTACTCTAAATTATTTTTTTTCTGACTATTCATAGCTATGGGCTGACAGATAAATTCTACTCATTTGCAGACAGCAACTTCTTAGTTCTTCTGCAGAGAAGTTGAGAGGAGAGGGTCGTATTTTGCTATCTGCTTTCCCTGTATTTGAAGTATTTAATTGTATGTCTCTTGTTTGAGACTTCCATAAAATGGAGAAAACCAGAATTGTTCCCCAAAGAAAAGGATTGTGCAGTTTTCTAGCATTGCCCTACTTGCCAAATTTCTTGTGACTATCGCTGTATAAGATGATATACAAAGATGAATGAAGGAGGTGAGGGTAAAAGATTTATAACCCAAATAATACCAGCACACTTACTTCCACCTATACCAGACTCTGTCATGCATTAATAACATCTCCTTGTAAAAAATAGATCCAGACTTCCATTCTGACACAGTTAACTTGCAGGACTGGTAAGTTGACTGGGGGGTCAGTCAAGCTAATGTACATATATGCGTACTGGTTTTATATATGATAAGAAATACAGTGCTTATTTTTGCTTTTTCTGAAAGATGAAAAGAAATCTTTTTTATTTATTTCTATTTTCTCTTAGCAACAAAATCTTAATTTGATTTTCTCAGTATGGTTAGCTCATATGTGAGACTTTAGGCACTCCTGTACTTTCACTATGTCTTTTTATTCTAGTGAAAAAAGTACTTATTTTAGCAAGGCCACTTACAATACTTGATCATATGTGAATTGACAGAACAACCTACATCCTATTCCAATTCCTTTTATTCTGTAGATTTTTGCCTATGCAACTTGCAGTAATTCCTATGAAGCTGTCACAATCTGTTCTATCAAAATTACTTACAGATCGTGTTGTTCAGGGATCGTTGAGATGATAGATTGCTATGGTCTCTCCTGTTAATGTGTGCTTAGGGAGTCCTTCATTTACACAATAGACTTATTCAATTTTTGGTGAAATGTGATTATTACTCTTGCACGGAAGACATGCTCAATCTAAATATGGCTTGCTTATTAAAGAAATTGTATAAAAATAGGATGTCCCTCCACAAAGCTCTGCTTTTAACCTTACAAACTAATTGCCTTTACCTTGCCATTTGAAGGACTGACAATTTTGCATAGCACTGGACTGTTAGTGAGGGCTGGCAAGAAGTCCAGCTGCAACAGAGGCAGATTGAAGCATAACTGATGGCTCAGGGTGACTCGAAATCATGAAAAGCTCACTGGGAAGTGTAATCCTCTTTTCACCAGCTCAGATGTGCTCATTATATTCCTGGCTAGGTGGCAGAAGTGTGGTTAGAATGGTCCATTACTGGTTGTGGAGCTGTGTATGAGAAGATTTTAATATTTGAAGGTATCAGGCAACTCGGACAACTGTAGTCTAAATCTAACCGGTTTTATCCGTAACATTTTTATTCAGCCCTTTTTAATGAGAATGGTGATGACTTTTAAAACTTTTTCTTACTCAAGTGCTCCTTTGATGTTGTTATCTTGGTTAGAATCCCATTTCTTGGTAAGTCATCTGTACTGTAACTGAGTAGTGGTGGTCTGAAGATCTAAAACTGAGGCAGGAAAATAGAGGAAAAATTCTAAGTATAATCCTGCCAGTGTTTGTTTCTGTCACATTTCCTCTATTAGGACTGTCATGGCAGTAGGCTATACCTGCTTAAGTAGTAGCTTATAAGGTTGACCCTCTGTTTGCGTCAGGAGCCTCCTAGATTATGAGCATATGGGAGAATATGAACTGAGGAATGCAGGAAGATCCTGGGAGCTGCTTTTTTCATAAACTCAGCAACTGGTGTCTGCACTGTTGACTGCACCTTGTGCAGTATCTGTTATTTAGGCTTTTGTATTCTCACTTTTAGCTTCAACTGGGCATGTGAAACCACATACCTTATAGAAAGAAACTAAATAAATGGATTGTGTCATTCAGTTTCAGGGGATTTATCCACCCTATCTTGTAATTTTTACTTACATGAATAATCTTTGTTTACACGTTCTTAATTTGAATGGGATTACTTGCATTAGTGATAATGTGAGTAGCAAGTACAGGATTAGTTCCTGTATTTGTCAGTGGTGTCAAAAGCAACAGAATATACAATAATTTGGTTACATTTTCAATTATAATCTGAAATTAAAGAGCTTTATTTTGGAGCTGTTGCTCTGAATAGCAAGTATTGATACTTGTAATTGAATTCTGAGATAGAACTTTCCATACATTTGTAATGCAGAAAGCTCTCTCATTATATGAAATTCACTTGGCAGATGAATGGTCACCACTTAGTAACAACATTAAATCCTGCCTTTCAAGAGTCAAAAGGACTGGAATCTGCTTCTAAGGTAAAATATTTAATCTATTTCATATCTCAAAATTCTATAGTCTGAAATTACTAGGTTGAGAAACATTTTGATAAATATTTGAGTACATGCTGTGATTAATTTGTATTAGAATTGTACTTTGAACTAGTGTAATTCATGTTGGTAGGACACCTGATGAGGTGATCCTGAAAAATGCTCCAGGAAAACCTACAATGAAAATTTAGCTGCTTTGAGCAATTTTCAGGACTCAGAGGTAAAATTTGATATAGTGTAAATAAGGGTGGCAGAATGAAAATAAATTATGCTGTGGCTAGCCTGTTTTCCACAGCTACAGGTTTGGGGGATTAATTATTTTTTTTTCTATTTTTTGCTTTGTAGAGCTTAATTTAAAAAAATTTATTTATATTTAGTTCATGCGTAGCTTTTGCCCTTCTTGTAATTAAACAGAAAATGTTGGGAAATCAGTAATTTTAGCAAATATTCTTTTTTCAATGCCCAAGACTTTTATGGCTGGATAAGTGCTATCAACTTTTATATAAAGCTTTCTTCCACCTCGAAGGGATGTCTCCTCAGTAAAGAAAAAGTAGGGAAAGAAAATCTGAAAAATGGAAAAATTAGATATATCTCCTTAGCCCAAACTAAAATCAAGCTATTAGCATTAATAACTGAAAATATGTTTACAATACAGCCTTGCAGTATTTTGAAGACCAGATGTATATCATACCAGGCATTGTGGCTGTAAGTCACTTTATATGCAGGGACATACGGTGACCCTGACTCCAATCATAGATTATTTGACAAAGAAGCAGCAGTAGACAGTGAGTGTAGTCCTGTTGTTTGCACACACTAAGTGATACTGCACGTATTACCTCTCTGAAATATGGGATGCAAAAAGTTTTTTGCTTTAAATACCCTGGCCTTTTCTGGAATCTTAATTCTCTTCTCCATAGCCAGCTTCCTTACAGGTCTGAGAAGGTGACTCAGGACTCTGCTAACACCTTAATCTTCACTGGAAGTGTTCAGGACCACAGCAGCAGTTGGCTGCCAGTAAATTATGATATAAAATCCTTCCATTATTTTTTCCCTTGAAATTACAGAAAAGATAATCACAGTCTGGCCTTTAATAATGACTTACACATTCTGATTTAGGATAGGTATTTCTAATGTTTGGTTTTGTATTTTGTAAACTGCTGGACTTACTTTAAAAGCAAATATGACAAATAATGAAAGCCTGTTGTCTTCAATTGTACTACAAATTGTAGATATGTGAGAATTGGCTTGATGTCTGAAATGAAAAATGGGTACACAAATTTCCAGGTTTAGAGAAACTGCCTTTATAGATACATGAAGAAGAAGTTAAAAAAGGACATATTCTTTAGATTACCAAAGAATAACAGCAGATTTTAGTCTTGCTGCAAAGAACACAAGTTTAAGTTATAGATGAATGTGTTATAAGACTAAAAGCTCAGCTGTTGTTCTTAGTTATATCAGATAGTCTATAAGAATACATTACTTTTTCAGACAAAGCTTCCTTGTCTTATAGCTGTAGACACCTGGCTACTACTTAAGACACAGAAACACTGTCAAAGAAAAAAGAAATTATATATGAAAAATTAGATAAATAATATGACATTCTAGTAAAAGTAGGAGTTTCTGCTGGATGAGCAATAAGTAGTGTGGTAGAGTTAGATAATTGTCTTAGCATCATTAGTAGCTTGAGTTAGAAGAGAGAATTTAGGAAATTGAAGTTGATATGTCCAAATACTGAAACAAAAAACAAGATTTGCATATTTTTGTTCATAGACTCATTTATTGTTCAAGTTGTGTGTTCATCTGCAAAAGATGAGAGAACACCACCATAGGTTGCATTGATAAAAGCAAGGGCAAAACTCAGGGACAAAACTCAGGGGAAAATAACTAATCTTTCCTAATTTGTTCTGAATTTGGACATGCAGACCTCAAATACTCTAATTTCTGTGAAAATGGTCCCTCAGCTATTAAAAGTCATAATAATGCAAGACCATGGAACCAGAAAATGCTTTTAAAAGATTATTTTTCTAAATAAGTGATTCTAAACTCAGATTATACTCACTAGACCCTGTATTTTCTGAGTTGGCAGGAAGTTAGCCACAAAACTCACATTTAAGTCAATGGGAGTTACTGAAATCAGTGGGAGTTGTGTACTTTGATCTCATGTAAACTCAGTGAATTTCAATGAAAATAGCAGTCAAAATAGTGGTGGTAAATATAAAGTATCAGAGTAGATAATATATGAGTAAATGAGCCAAATATTTAGCAAAATGAAAAACATGATGGAAAAGAGAAGAAGGGTGGAAAAGAGATGATTGAAAACATTGAGTTATGCAGGACTAAAGGAGGATTTGCAGGGCTTCAGTAAACACAATTTCTTGAGAAGCTGAGGGAAAACGGAAAGAAAGCCATCAGGTATAATTGCTGTGAGGAACAACTTGGGTTTACTTTCAGTGCTGTACAAATGCATCCCAACAAGTACAACATACAAAAATAAAATCAAGAGTTAGGAGAAGGAGTTTGTATTATCATACAGACATATCATGTGTAATGGAGAAGAGACAGAACAAAGGAAGAACTGTGCGAGAAAAACAGAAAACATGGGAAAAAGTGGACACTGTACTATGGCAGAGGAAGAAAGCAGACAGTTGATAGGATATGACTGGCTGAGAAACATGGGAAGCATGTAGTCCCTCTGCTGAAGAAGGGTGATGCTGATGAAAGTAGTTGGTGCAGGGAGAAGTTAACTCTTCACAGCATGGATTTTTTTTATTATGCAGATATGTTCAGCAAAATAACTCACTAGTCCCATAAAAAGTATTACAGTAAAACATAGGACTTTCCCTGACATAAATGTTTAGATTTGAGTTCTCTCTAATTCACTAAGATTTCAAACCTGTTAGAAAGTTTCAGAAGAAATAGAGGGCCATTACCTACATTCCTTTTAGTTTTACAAGATGCAGGTGCTTATGACCCTTATAAAATGTCCACCAAAGAAAAATGGAGAAAACCTCTCTCCTCAAAAGCTACTACTTAGAAATGGTCTTCCAGAGAAACAAGCCAATAAATAAAGAGTTGTTGATAAAAATATCTTGGAAACATTAAAAAAAAACAAGATTTTGCAATGGATATGAAGAATGATAAATGTCACCAAACAAAGTTCACTGACTGTTCATATCCATGCAACTGTTGAATAGAAGCATGTTATTTTATGCCTATGGTGAGATTGGGCCACAATTTCAGACTCCAGAGGAAAACCAAAGTTAATTAAAAACAAATTAGAAGACTGTACTTTACTCTGTAGAGCAACACAATAGATTGTATTGCCAAATGAAGGCATTTTAAAGCTTTTTAGATCTAGGAAAAAAATCATCTTTCAAAGAAATTCAGAAACAAGTCAATGTAGCTGTTATACCAGGGATTAAATTTAGATGCCCTATGAAAAGTTCCAATTTTTATGGATGCTCTATTATCAGAACCAGTGAAGAGACATAAAAAATCAAGACATGAAGTTCTAACAAACAGTAAATGGACAGTATGCAAACCAGTTGAATTATGAATTGCTTATAGGTAACATACATGTTTACTGTGACATTTTATTTAAAAATTTAACTGCTAAATTAAAGTGGCTTTATGCCTTAAAGAGCATATTTATGAGCAGTATTTTACAGTTGGTCATAATTGGTGATTTAATACACAGGCTATCGTTGCAGCTATGTAGCAACTCAGATGAACAATCTGATGTCATTGAGAGATTGCATAAGCTTTCTAAACTAATGAAGTTGCACGTGAAAGTAAAAGATAATGCTCTGAATACAAAGCAAAAGAAGCTACAAAAAACCCCAGAACAGCAGGAGAACACAGGTAAAGGTTTTGAATAGATGCCAAGTACTAGAAGGTACAACAGAGATAAATAAAATACACAGTAAAGATGCAATATAATAAAACACTGTAATTTGGGCTGTCAGCATGAGTGTAGTGAGTTCAGAATAGAAGTGAGTTAGCTTTTATGGGATATTTAACCACAAACTGCCAGAAACTGCGACTGCTGCTGGTAATACATATTCAAATACAGCAAATGTGTCATTGGGAAAAATTATATAAAATCACACTATGAACTTTTTGGTTGTATCTCTTGAATTTGTCCACAAGACATCTGCAATTTGCCTTTTGCAGAGTAGACAGCTGAAGAAGTGGTAGCTTCAGTGCCATTTCCCACAGTATCATGGGAATAATTATAACTACATTTACATAAGGTGTCCCTGCCCATGGCAAGGGCTTGGAATTAGATGATCCATAAGGCCCCTTCCAACCCAGGCCATTCCATGATTCTGTGGTAGTAAGAAGACTTATTTTGGACATGAACAAACTGAGACAGATTCAACAGTTAAGAATTCACGACAGTTCACAACAGTTAAGAATTTCTAGGAATACCTCCTATCACATATTTTTCCAAGTGTTGTTAACTGAAAGGTACAAACAGTCAGCGGAAAAAGAATTTTTCTTCTCTCAGTCCATCAGGACCTCCGAAATTATTTGAGTATGTGGAGAAACTATGACAGATGTCTGTCCTGTGCTTTAGGACAGCTGTTTTCCTGTATTCTGCCAGAATGGTTTCCTTAGAGCTTTGTACCACTGTGTACTGGGTTTGTCTGGCCAGGTTTTGGTAGCGGGAGGGCTACAGGGATGGCTTCTGTGAGAAGCTGCCAGAAGCTTCCCCCATGTCTGGCCAGCTCCAGGATGGACCTGCCACTGCCAAAGGCCAAGCCCATCAGGAATGACAGTAACACCTCTATGATAACGTATTTAAGAAGGCAAAAAGAAAGAAAAGTTATTGTGCAGATGAAAATTGCAGCCAGAGAAGAGCAGAGTGAGAACATGTGAACAACTCTGTGGACACCAAGGTCAGTGGAGGAGGGACTCCTCTCCCTGAGCAGTGACAGGAACAACCTGTGATGAACTGACCGTAACCCCCATTCCTTGTCTCCCTGCACCACTGGGAGGGAGGAGGTAGAACTTGAGAAAAAGGGAGGGGTGAGGGGAAGGTGTTCTTAAGACTTATTTTACTTCTCATTCTCCTGCTCTGATTTTGTTAGTAATAAATTTAAATAATATCCCCACTTTGAGTCTGTTTTGTCCGTGACAGTAATTGGTAAGTGATCTCTCCTGGTCCTTATCTCAACTCATGTTATATGATAACTCTTTGTTATATTTTCTCTCCTCTGTCCAGTTGCAGAGGGGAGTGCTGGAGCAGGTTGATGCGTACCTGGTGTCCAGCCAGGGTCAACTCACTACACACTGGCTTTTTAACCCATTGTTATGGCTTAAGAGCTACAGAGGATAATATCTAAAGAAGCATCCATTCCTGGCCAATACTGCTTGCAAGGCTGCAGTATTGTCTTACAATTCTGCTTCAGAGTGCTTTCTCATATTTAATGATTGCTATTTCAGTGTCCTGTGCTTTGGAAATGGTTAAATGCAAGTTAGAGGGTTTTGCCATCCTCCCCCAAGTACTTCATACCTTCTTAAAAAGTATTTTTGGTTGGTTGTCTGGTCTGATTTCCAGTAGCACAAGATATGGGTCTTTCACATTGCTGTTCCAGCCACCATTCTTAACTGTCTTTCAGAACCACTTTCAAATAGAACAAAGATAAAGTTTATTCTAATAATTAATTATAGAAATATAGCATTTTCATATCTATTTTTATACATATATAAAGTTAAATCTTCTTTTGTGATAATTTTGTTTCTATTCATTCTGAAGCTACCTAGATTTTTCCATTGTTTTTGTTTTTCTATATTTGATTTTTCATAGCTTTATTAAACTAGTTAGTTGCCATCATGCAGTTCTTAATAATCTCTTCCTCAATGCCATTACTATTCACACAAAATGGTGATCTTGCATATGAAGAGGTAATAAAGGTAACTGTAAACCAGGATTCTATGTACATTTCTTAATGCAATTCCTAGTTTATTTCCAAGCCAAAACCAACAACAAAAGCAACTAATTAGCAGATTATTCTGCTATTTTAACAGAATAACTTCTGGAAAAAATGCAGGGTTTAGATAAAATTTTTTAGAATAAAATTACCATTCTTTATTTATTGTTCAATAAATTTTCTGCAAATTTGTAGATATTTAGTAATCTACTGGAAAAGTTGGCCACCAGTTCTAGCTTTTATCCCAAGTTTTCTGTTGTTCTGACGATATTTGATGAGGAAATTACCTGCTACAAGGAGATGTTTAAAAATCACAGACAGTAAGTAGTGAAAATCTCCCTTCTTTTATTAATTTTAATCATTCTTTTTAAAATTATTAATTTACCTAAACTATATTATTTATTAAATTCATTAATCTAATATAGCTTAATAATTAGTATCATTCGTTATCAGGTTTTTTTGCCTAGAGAGAAATATTTTATTTCTATTGCAGTTTGACATAAGTTTTAAGTACTTATTTAGGCATCTTCCATTATTTTATACATCCTTTACAATTTTATATGCAGTTTCAGAAATACAGTAATTTTCTTTGCCTGTTTTCTGGGTATTACCTACTGATTTCTCTCTTACTGTTAGACACGTGCTATATTTTCATAGGAGCTTAGTTCCAAGGATTTCTTTGTTTTCTTCTGTGCTGTGTTTTTAGTACACATACTTGTGTACCTATTGTACAATAACAAAAAGAACAAAATTTTTTTTCTGTCGATTTTCACACCTTGGTGATAGAAATTAAAAATTTTTCTCCTTGAAAGAAACATTAAGATGCTTAGAACAGTGTCTTCATTTTCAAGCCTGCAATTACTAAGGTATAAGAGATGAAATTTAGTATGTTCTCTGTTTCTAAAGTAATAACTCTGTTTCTAAAATAATTAGAAAGTAAGGAAACATATTTCCACACATACTGAAATTAGTTAAATGACTTAGGAGAAAGCTGAACAGAAGTCAAAATAAACCTGCAGAGGATTTTTGCTGATCTTCTCAAAATGCTTCCATGGCTTTTGGAACACTGCTCATTTTCATGTATTGTCAGGTTTGGCACTTCTGGCTTTGAAACAAAACCAAAATTAGAATTATTGAAAAACCATGAGACAAGCAGTTTTTCAAAGTATTTCTAGCTTGATTACAAGCAGATTTCATTGGAATTTAATGATTTAGTTCATCCTGAGATTTACTGTATCATTCAGAGTATTTATATTTTTCCAATCCTTCTGTCAAAAATGCAGGCTTTGGAAGGAAAATATTTTTAAATTCTCTCTTTACAGATCAAGTTTGTAATGATATCTATTGCCTGTGTGGAAATGAGACATTCAGGATTATGAAAGATCTCTTCTCCCTGCACTAGGATTTGAAGAAGGAGATACTATAAAAAGGAACTTGACAGTATAGCAATAGTAGCAGGAAACTGGCAGATTTTTAAAAAGCAGATGCTCTTGTGAACCGAAACACAAGTTCTGGAGGCTGCTGAAACGTTCATGAGAAATTTAAAAATACTTGAAATCTGAACACTTTCTCATCTTATTTCATTGAAATTCAAATTATGTTAAACTTCCAGTTTAAAATGAGCATGCAGATGCTTAGAATTCTTTTTTTTTCTTCACAACCAAATTACCTTCTGATGAAATTCAGTGAAAGCAAACCACTTAAACTTCAGACAAAAATTTAACAGGCCATATCCAGTTCTTTAGAATTCCAGTGGAAAATAATTACAGCAGAGATTGCATAGATGTACAAGAAAGCTGATGTAGCCAGTGACATTTTGGTTCTATTTCCTGTCTCTAAAAGCTCAGATCTGCACATCCTTATATAAGCAGTTAAAGGTATACTTTGACATGCATGACAAATATGGAAACGTGCTCATAAAGTTCTCAGAGGATGCTTTTTCATTTTTATAATCTGTTCTAAGTATCCTCCTGATTGATTTTTTTTTCTCCTGATTTCTCTAATTTCTGTAGGGACTATGTGGAAGAGGAGGAAAATTTCTGCACAAAGTGTGAAGAAATTTGTCTTCTTTAAGAAAAATATAAAGAAAGAGCAATTGGTTGTCTTGGCAGTTACAGCAGAAATTAGATTTCACAATGCTCTTAAAATAAGGGTCCAAATCTGCATGGTGACAAACCACATGAGATCTGATAAATCTCTCCTCTTCATGAGATTCATGACTATAAAACAGTCTTCATTTGTGTTTGCAGCCCACTGTTTTAGTGTCATCCATGTTTATTGCTGAAGTTTTGCCAAAAGAACACCCTGCAGTTCTCCAGGCTTAAGAAGTGTTGCCTGTCAGAAAAGCCAGTGGAACTCCTTAACAATAACTGGACTTGCCTTCAGCCAGCATAAGCCTCGTTCTTCCTAAACAGATGGATGTTTCACAGAGAGGCAAATGAAAGCATCTCTATGAAGCACCTGAGACTCCTCTGTCACCCAGTGTAACTTGTCCCAGGAAGCCCTTGGGTATTTGCCTAGAGACAGAGATTGTGAATCTGAAGCTGATACCTCTTTAGTCACTGAGAGTGGATTTGGGATTTTATGTGCTGCTTATACAGTGGTAAAACTGGGACTATCACCATAAATATTTCTGTTTGTTTAAGTTAAAGAATGGATGTGATACACTTTATGAAAACACACCAGTGACTGCAGGCAGTTTAAAATGGTCTTATGAGTTACAAGAGGCTTCTCAGGCATGGAACACATTTTCAACACATCAATTCTCTGTAAGTATTGCTGTAAAACATTGTACAATGGGGCTTAAAACACTTCAGGCACTTTCTGAAGTTATAGCCACATTGTGCACTTAGAAATGACATTGAGATGAAATCTCTTTTGTCTCTGTAGAGTTTTCCAGATAGGGGAAACAAACTGTGTTTTGCAAAAATATGAATATTGGAATAAATGTATTAATATAATGAAGAAATGGACCTCTGCTAGACATGGGATCTACACCTTCTCTGTGCCTCAGACCTCGGTGTAATAATTCTCTGGAATTTGGATGGTATGAGGTAATTTTAGTCAGAAGGTTACACAGTAGTAAATTTCACTGCATGACATTAAGAATTTCTTTTAATTGTTTTAGTAATTATTTTGTTTTATGGTAAAATTCTCTTTCATTCTAGAGAGAAGCATAAGATGTGTATCTGTTTTCATGAATTTTTACTTCAGCGTGCAAAAAAGTGTAACAGGATTGTGTGTTTGTATTATACATGTTCCCTGAGAAGCATTAGAGGTTTAAAATAAGAGAAATGACATTTAAATTTCATATTTCATATTTATATTGTACATGGGATCTAAATGAAAAGACTAGAACTGCAGGACACAGATGGCAAAGACTTGTAGCTCTTGCTTTCAAGAGGCTGCTATAAATTCTGCTTCAGTAAATTCTGTAGTCATGATGAGGTAACTTGAGATAGCTTTTTACTTGGTGTCTGATTGCCCTTTTCTGAATAACAAAATCTTTTGTGATTCTGTAGCTTTCTGCTATTTCTCCAAGGGATGTAATATCTTGAAATTTTACAACATCCTTCTAACACCCAGCAGTTTCACTGCTTTCATATTGCAAGAGACACACTAGGTAAATAAAGAAGATTCTTACTGACAGATGCATGTGAATATAAAAGCATACTAGGAAATCGACATAACCATAATAAACTACACTAAACTAAACCCAAACTGTTTTCAACTATTTTTTGCAATTATCTTGTCTGTGGGATGATTGTTAGTCTGTTTGTAGTTAATCATACATTGTAGTCTTATTGAGTGTATGTTTACTTTTCTTTGAATACAAAAGGGTGAGCTCTAATGCATTAATTTATTAAATGCATGGACAGAACCAGGTCCTCCCATCAGGAAATTTATGGAATCAAGCATAAGTGGTTTAAAAGACTAGTAAAGGATGATGGAAGTTCTCTTACTAGGCTATGTAGAATGCTTTTCAGGGACTGGAATAAAATCCATTGTTGATTTTAGTCCAGTTCTCAGAGATATATTTTGACAAAACTACTATCATTACTGGGGTAAGTACTGATTAGAAGAATCGGCCTCCCTTGTAGAAACAAAGAAAAAAGTAACCTAATGGGACTTCTTCCTGCTGATGGAAATGGCATCTCAGGAACTGGGCAGACACATATTGGACTTCTCTGTAAATGTTAGAATGAACCTTTTCAATCAAAGTTGTGATGTTAGATTGATTTTAGTTAAAATAGTTCTAGTTTGCATATGGACAGCTAGTAAGATAGACTTTCCAAGGCTCTAAACATATTGTTATATAATAAGAACAAGCTGATATCATCCAGTTTTGAAACAGGGTAATGTCCTCACTGAGAATTTTACCAGTTTGGCTGCACTGTCTGTGAACTAAAACCCGAGTATTTCACAAAGAAGTTATGACAGAAAGACAAAGGAGGAGCTGCAGTAAGAGAAACTTGTCCTGCTTTTGTCTAGTCATCCATCTCATGGAGAGCCAGAAATGTTCAGTGTTATAGTCTATCCTGGCACTTTTTGTATACGTTGAAAGCTCTACTAATGTACAAATAGGATGCAGACTCTGCTATATATAATAAGAAGAAGGTTGAATCCATTGAGAACTTGGCAGATATTTTTAAAACTAGGAGTCTGAGCATATTTGATTTTCATTCTTTTCTCCCAAATGAAAAGACCAATGGTTTATTGCAGCATAACAGGTAAACTTGAGTTTGGTACAGAACAGACTGAACAAAGAAGGAAGAAATCTGTTTAAAAATATTTCTCATAACCTTAGAAAGAATAAGAGTTTTTCTTACTCTCCTTATACTGCAAATTTAACTGTAATTACAAAGCTGTGCCAGAGGCTGTGAAAGACCATGCTGCATGGAGAGTTTTGACAAACAACTGATGCTGCTTCTAACTTGGCAGAGTGCAGATCTCTGTGAGTGTAATGAACAGGCAAGGAGACCTTGCTTAAAATGTGGATGAGAGAATCAGAATATTCAAGCATAATGTGAAATTGGATGTTGTGTAGATTGAGTCAAACACTTTTTTTATCAAGAAAAAAATGGCAGAAATCTTTTCATCTATCCTTTGATTAAAAAAAAAGAGTGAAATGTTCAAACTATGGAGTATGATTCAAGAAACAGTAGAAAAGATTTACCAGATAATCAACATGACAGTAGATCCAGTGAATATTTTGTTCTGGGAGTAGCTATTGTCACTAAGTAGGTGTCAATACTTAGAAAAGCCAGGATTAAGTAAAAGCTAAAACTGTTTTCAAATATTTGCACTTGCTGATGTAAATCTAACTCCAAAGGGAAATAGTTTTCAGTAACTAGTTCCAGGTGTACTTGTAAAAGTTACAATGGAAAGGTAATTATGTTGTAAATAGTGGGAATGCACTTCATCAAAGTGAGAGTTTCTTTATTCCTGGACTCAGTTAGCTGAAATAAGGAATACACACTGGAAAGCGCAATTCTAAACCCCTGTTACTCTAAATTACTCTTTCCAGGACAATCAGTATTTGCTCCAGGCAGATCCTCTTTCTGATGAATGGAAACTCTACACTGAATACATACACTACATGATTGTAGATGGACTGTTCAAAGCTATCAAGTGTTCTCTTCAGTATCTGACTGAAAACATTGAGACAACATTTAAATCCACTACTTTATTTGAAGTGCAGCTTTTTCTTAATAGCAGTGAAATGACTTTTAAACGTTCTTTGTACTTAATGTCAATGGCAATTTCTGTGATACTATGGAGAGTCTAATCAAAACCAGCTATGATACTGCATCATCTGTAGACAGATTTGTCAAATACCTTGGAAAAGACTCTTTTCAGTTATTCTTACTTTTGCTACTTTTCCTTTTTAAAAATTTTTTTGTTAATGTCACAATTGACCTTTCCTCTAGGCATTTGAATGTAGTTGTTTTCCCAGTCCAGTCACCCTTATCCAGTGGCTTATGTGAAGAAGGCTAGTATCTGAAGAGAGGCTGTGAGGCTTTTTCCCATCTGTTTTCTGTGAGCTGTCATATTCTGCTCTCCTTAACCTCTGCCTCTCTTGTTTTATGAATGCATCCAGTCATTTTCATCAGCCACCAGCATATATTCTTTGAATGATATTAGCTAACTTTTTAACTCTTCTGGTTCACTTGCCTAATTGAGAGTGCCTTTCTAATACACACTGAAATCTGCAGCTGGATGATGGACTGTCTGCAAAGCTGGTTCATGAACTTGCCTTCTGCTTTTGCTTGTGTACTGTGCCCAGGCGGTCTTTGGCTTTACAGTGCCTGTATTACTGAGCATTTGGTGTCAAATGACTTCTGTATGTTCCAGGTTGGGCATTTCTCAAGAACTGTGGGTTTCTTTGTGATTGTTGGTTGAATATTTGCTTTCTTGGTGCCTCATTTCTCATTAGGACAGCTAATACTGTTTCTGCTCCCAGATCTGCAAGTACTACTGAGCTTATTTATCCACAATTTCCTTCTCTATAAACTGTGAGGTTATGTCCACAGATGGCAGAAAAAAGTGGTTTGTGAATTGCAGTGGAACACTTTTACTAGAAATTTAATGTTAATGCAAGTTTTTGTGCAAGAGTATTCTTGCTGGACTAGCAGGACGTGCAAAATGCTTTGTGCAATTTCTTCCTTTTGCAGGTCTTTTTTAATATCAGATGGAAACAAATATCAATAAATAAATATATCAAAATCACCGCTTATCCAGGGGAAAATAGATTAACTGTAAATTGGTTACACTGTATAATAGTGAAAAATAAACAAAGGATAAGGTTGGACTCAATATTACAATTTTTGGAACCCTGTGAAAAATGACACTGATGGTCATAAGGACCTGAATCCCAATCCATCTCACTAGCTAGTGCTGGAAGTTAAATCAACGTGTTGGAGGATGTGAGTAATAACAAGTGCAATGTTTTGTGTCTGACTGATGACAATAGGTACTTTGAATTTTTGATGTTAGTGTGATGCATGAAACAGAAATTATAATTCTGGAGAAACATGTATCCAAGCAGTCATTCCTATTAACTTGTTTCAGGGAGCAGACAGGAAACTTGATGTTAACTGACAAGTTAAAATTGCCATTGCCATCAGTACAGTATCGTGGGTCTTGGCATGTGACTTAGCTCTAAGGATGTCTTTTCTTTCTTGAATTTACTCTTTGCCTCCACTGCTTTTTCACTTTTGGATGTTCATTTAGCATGACTTAGATCAGATGGATACCCTGGAAGAAATAAGTCAAGTAGCTCTGAGGAACAAAGAGTGGTACTTAATGGATTGATGATGAAATTAGATGTATAAAGCAGTTTCTACTCTGTGGACAATTTCTTAGTAAAGAGGAGGTGGAATTTTATGAAAATTATGAGGTTCATGAGATTTAGTTCATTCTAAAGAACAGGTATTTCCATTTTTACCTATTATACCACCTTGTTCCTATTAATAAAATATACTATGTCTATTAGTGAAATATAAATAATTACATTACTTTGTTGATTTGTTTAAAATTTAGTGTTCATCATGTTTCATTTTGTTTGTTTGTTTTTTTTTTAGGCCCAATATTCTAAAGAACTTCAAATATTCTCAAGAACCTTCAAATCAGAAGAATTTTTAATAGTTATTTCAAATCAAGTTGGCCATATAATTAAATATAATTTAAATTTAATTGGTGAATTTAATTTAAAAATTAACCTGAAAATTTAAGGAAAACAGCTCAGCTTTAGGCAAGCTTCTCTAGTTTCTCTATCCTATATATTTTTTATGTATACACTCATAAACACAAAAATGTATATATATGTAATCCTTTTCTGTATATGTGTATATATATTTGTATTTGTATTTATATTAAGAAGGATGGACTGAAGGATCTCTTTAAGTCCCTTCCATCCCTTTTAGCTATGAGGCGATAGAGAGATTTTGCAGACTTTTGTCTCCCTGCTGCCTTAGGTGTTTCCTTGGGACAATAGACATAATGTCTTTGGCCTTACATTTCTTCTGGATAAACATCAAATTCTCAAAAATGTTGCTGTTTTTAAGGTGTTCATAATATCTTAGAAATAGTTATTTCTTCTTTGATTGTTGTGGACTGTATTTTTTACTCATTACTGTATTAAGGATTTTTAACAATTCTGTCATCTTTGGTATAAATTTATATCTACAATGCATTTTAAAATGGCACTTTCACCATGCTGAAAAACTTCATCAGGACTATTTAGAGCATGAGAGCTGGTATCTAGATTGAAAATTGCCTGTTTGCTATTCTAAAGATCCATTCTTTGAGAGAAGAGCTCTTTGAAATTAGTGGCAACCCTGGTTTCTTCTAAAAGATGGATGTGGATCACAGTGCTGTACTCATCCCCTCAAATGCCCATCTAAAGTATTCAGACAGCAAGCCCCTGCCCCCACCCCCAATTCTGCAGCACTGAGAACCTGAATAGAGTTATTACTTGAACCACGTGTGGCAGATGCAGAAAAGAAAGAGATGGTCAAGTGTAAATGAGACCATTATATTTCTCAAGAATATCTTGTCATATATTTCTCTCTTGTTTAAAAAGAGGGGGGAAAAAAAGAACCCACCAACCAAGCCTTAACACCATGCTTCTATGTTTTATTTGATTG